GTATCGATACTCCTGGTCCGAGTATTGATATTCTAGTACTAGCGTATCGATACTATCCCCGAGTATTGATACCAAAACCGGCTTTGATATTTTGAAAAATACCTCAGTATTGATACCTCTACTGGAGTATCAATACTCTACCCTTGGTATCGATACTCCCTTGAGTATCAATACCAAAAATGGCTATTGGAATTTGCTAAGTTCTCCTGGTATCAATAACACCCTACGATTATCAACAGTATCGATACTTCATGAATGAGTATCAATACTCCTTTTCAAAAACTCTCTTATTTCACACTAGCTAATGAACAATATCATTATTGTTCTTTCAGTACTGATACTCGTGCCCAAAAATACCCTATTTTGGGTACAAGATTTGTTAATTTTCCATCACATAAACCCTATTGATGTTTCCAATTATTATTAAAGTCTTATGAGGATTAAAAGGGGTCAGAATAGGTTTTTTAACAAGTTGAAAAACATCAAAAGATGCAAGTACCATGGGCATGCTTCATAACTCATGCAACCTACCAAAACACACCTAGTGATCTACATACAGGAGAGTTGAATTAGGAGTGAGTTACTCGATGTTCTAAGCTAGTGAGAACTCCCAAAGACTCAACCAAGTGAAAGATTTTTCTCTCTTTTGGCTTTAGAGCTATCTCCAACTTCTCTCACTAGGTAAGAATCAAACACTTGTGTTACTAGCTTTATTTAGAAGTTAAGATGGGTTTAAGAACACCTCATAAGCCTTAAACTCTCTAGAAACATATTAAAATCACATAGTTCCTTAAAGCCCTACAAAACCATGTTTGGTTACCAAGGTGAAATAAAGAGATTGAAGTCTTGAATAGAAGCTTTGGAGATGAAGATTATGATTCTTACCTTTAAAATGTCAAACTAGGATTGCAAGGCCACCAAGTTATTACCTTTGACTAGCTTACTAAGGAAAAAGATAAAGACTTTGGAAGAGGAAGAAGACAAAGTGAATGGGGAGAAAAAGATGATGGCACGATGTGATATCATTAACCATTAAGGGGTTTTAGCTTTTGAAATTCTTAATGGTATAATCACTCTTATAGTTTTTCACCTTTTATCCTAATATTAAAATTTTCTCCTTTTAATAACAAATGGGCCCCAAACCAAGCCCAACTCAAATTCTAAATGGACCAAGCTCTCTTACAAGGTAAATAGGCTCGTCTAAACTAGCCCAAACTACTAACCCGAGATTTGGGTTATTACAAATAATGTTACAGATCTCATCTTAAAAATATTCCTAATTATGAAATCATAAAACTTATAACCTCTAAATCATGCAAAATAACCAAAATAGTTGCTTATTATTTTATAATTCAATTTTTTATCATATGTCTTAACTAAAGGAGAACAACCCTTTGTAACATACTATTGTATCTTTTGAGTTGGACCCTTAACAACTACTTTGTGAGAGTTTTTGCCCTTATCTTTATATGCATTTTTCAAATGAGTACTTTTAAACTTATTATGCTTCAACCTTTATTTCTCTTGCACACAATGAAAAATGATCTCATTTAGAGTTCATTTCTCCATTTGAATTGATTAAACTCTGTAGGAAGTGATACTGAAGTCATAATAATAAGTAATTCTTCAGAAAAAAAAATTGATCTTAAGTGTCTTAAGTCTTGAAGAAATATGAAACATATCTATAATGACATCAAGGAAGTCAAAAGTGATGTCATTTAAACCTTATTGTTTTTGGAAAAACATTTCTCAATTTCGTCAAGAAAACCATTAGTCTTAGTAATCTTTTCAGATTATGTGCCCATAAAGGCTTCTAAAATGTTGTGCTTCATGACCATTAAACTAATGCAATTTGAACAAATTTCACAACTCAAAATTCCCGATACTAATTAAGGATGTTATCCCTCATGAGATGTGGAAATTATTCTTTCCTTAATGTAAAGTCTATGTTCATATAACCAAAACCTTATGTAAGTATATTTTCTCATTCCTTGAGATTTGTTTTCTTAAGCATGAGTATAAAATGTATAATAACATATATTGTGATAGAAATAAATAAATAATTAGCAAATTACAAAACAAACATAAAAAACTGAAGCTTACATATTAAGTAAACAAGTAAATTAAAAAATAATTGCTAATTCTCATCTCAAGATACCAAACACTACATCAATATCAAGTCTTTGGACATCAATATTAACAGTAAACAATACTCTTGTTGTAGTAATCTAACATTGACAATAAGTTATGTCGAATAAAAGTCTAATCTTTGGACTAATATAATGCTCACAAACTACCTTATAATTGTCACATTATATCCACAGGTGTCACCTGAAATCCGGCCAATTATTAACTTTCCTTTGGGTCAATTAATAAACACATGAATCAAAAGAAACACATAATTATCATGACATTTTAAATAATCAATCTACACAAAAGAGGTCACTTTGGCGTCATTATGTTTCAACTAATCTATAAAAGTATCAGATATAGCCATCATATGAATTAATTTGTTTTAATATATATTCTATTAACCAACAATCAAAACTGAAAAATTGAATTGAATATATGCATATATTGCATTGACAATATAAATAAAATCATATAAATATTGTCAACCAATCAATTTCTCTTAATTTTATCTTTCAATTAAATTAAAAGGGAACATAAAGGCATAAATAGACCAAGGGGTGAGGTGAGAGCAGTCGTTTTTCTGAAAAAATTAAAAATTATCATATATATATATATATATATAGATATATATATATTACACTTTTCTATTAAAAATCTATTTTTGCATCTTTTGAAATTTTATAAGTTAAAGTTTGCCCCTTCAAATTTTAAAAGTTCAAGTTTACCCCAACATAAAATTTTATGTTCGTCCCTTAACTCCATGAATTGGTAGAACATTGGTTCGAGACATAAAATAGTAAATTAATAATAATAACTTAATATTATTATTGAATAATGTAAGACGATTATAAGGTAATATTTATTCTAAATATTCTCTTAATCATTGAAAATATATGCAAACCTTGTAGATGTAACTATTTGTTTTAAAATTATATATAGAGTTTACTTTTTATTTCATTTTGGTATATCGCTGTTAAAAGCTTAGTGGAACAAGCATGACATTTTTATGGGTAAATTACATCATTTATCACTCAACTATCTTCTCACTCCTATTTTGGTCACTAGAGTTTATTTTTTTTTTATTTTATGACATCATATTTTTATTATTAATTTATTAATATATAATTAAAATAAAAAAAATTAAATTTAATAACTTTCAAATTGTTCCTAATTTAATCACTCTAACTTTTAAATTTAATTTTAACAGTGAGGTACCAAAATGAAAAAAAAAATAAACTTTAGGTATAATTTTGAAACAAATAAAAATTTAGGTACAAAAAAAAATGATAGTTTATATATTAAATATGTAATTTACCCAATACCAAAATTGATATGTTTATATGGGTATTGTAGTGAAATGTGTTGAAAACTGGAAAAAATGTTACACTAAAAGAACTCATCTCGAGAGTGATGAGTTCCAATTTTCTTTTAAAATAAATTCATATTAAAATTTTTGAAACTTTTTTTTAGAATGGCCCATTAAGGTCATTCATTAAGGCCCGTTATACGCAACTTGTAAGTGATGCTTTTGTTGCTTTAAATTATATAAAAAATATCATCGAAAATGAGAACCAAATTTATTGAATGTACAAGTATTAAGTATTAAATATGTAATTATGTTATTTCTGTTAACTTTCAAGTAAGCACTTTCATTAGATGTTAATCACAGATAATTATATTGAAAATCAGTTAAATAATTAAGAGATCATATTGTCGAAATTCTAAAAAAGATGTTTATATAGACATCAACCTTCTAATTAGTTGGTTATTCAGGTAGTTTACCCTTTTAAAGCCACCGCACCAATGACTCTTTGACGTCATCTCCGTTGGATAAATATTTCACACTCAGACTTACCTGTTTTCATTAAATAACATATCAAACTTATTAGAAAATTAATTTTGTATAACATATTTTTTACACCATGTATAAATTATTTAAAATTTAAAACTAATCCAAATTTTAATGCATTAAAACTTTTAAACTATAAAAATATTATAATAATAATAATTTCAATCAAATTAGGATAAAATATATTTTTATAATAATACTTTATAGATTGTGCTAATAAATTGAATGTTGGAACACGCACTTCCGTCTGAATTAGAAACAAAATATTTTCTTTAAAATTTTTCATTTTTTATTAAATTTAACGCCGGAGAATTATGATCGGCAGGATGGTTTTACAAAAGAGAGTCTGGAATAACGGTCACCGATGGCTGTTTCCATCATCGGCTCCGTGTCCGGTGCCGGCGTCGGAGACGATGGAGTACTGCAAACGTCAATTATCTACCCACGTTTTTGCTTCGTTTTCATCGCCCGTCAATAATTCCGTCAAAGTGAGCTGTTTGTTCATCGACCCAATTTTCATTCATCTTCAAAATTTTGAATTAAAATAACTAATTCGATAGCTTTGTTGGATTTGCAATTTGGATTATTGTTATTAATTGCTAATTAATTCGATCATTATTTTTGTTCTTGTAGCTGTGATTTCCATATATGAAAAATAAATTTAAGTTTTTTTCTAGTAATGCGGTGGCTGATCTTCCAACGAATGGAATCGTCGATGTGCCATTGGCCCAAACTAGTGAAGGAATTGCTGAATGTGAACTTCTTAAGTGGTTCGTTCATGGGGTGAGTTAGGGTTTAAATAGTTGTGCTTAGATTCAATGAATTAAGCTTAAATTTGTTTGATCTTTGATTGTTGATTTTTCGTTTTTGTTAGGGGGATGAAGTTGATGAGTTTCAACCGCTCTGCGAAATTCAAAACGACAAAGCAACGATCGAGATTACAAGTCGTCACAAAGGGAGAGTTGTACAAATCGTTACAAAGGGAGAGTTGCTCAAGTTCTCCACGTTCCTGGAAGCTATGAAGCACGAGGACGGTAAAGGAGCCCCGTTTCAAGTACCCAATACATTTCGGGCATGGGACGGTAAGGGATGGCCGGGGTACGTACCGGGGACGTTGAGCAAATATCCCATGGTGAATAGTTGCTTTAACGAAGAGTCGGTTGAAGTAATCCTTCGAGTTTGGTAGATTTATTCGTTTCGTTTTTTTCTTACCTCTGATCACCTAACATTACGTTATGAATGGTTTTAGAGGCTGCTGTCTTCTTGTATGGTTTCACACATTGTACCACAGTCTTGGTTGCTTCTCTCCCTTCCTTCTTCTGACATGACTCTTTCCTGTTGATTCTTTCAGGTTCCCATAACATTGGAATTGCCATGGCCACTCCATACGGCTTAGTGGTGCCAAACATAAAGAATGTTCAGTCTCTTTCTATCTTGGAGGTTCGTTACGTTTGATTTCACATATTGAATAATGTCGTTCTGTTATCGTCATATTGCTGGTAATTCTTGTAGTTCTTATTCTTAGCTGTGTTTTTCTGTACTTTATCGTACATTCAGATTACGAAGGAACTTTCGCTGTTACAGCAATTGGCTCTGGACAATAAGCTCAGTCCCAATGATATATCCGGTGGAACAATAACACTAAGCAACATCGGAGCCATTGGTGGAAAATTCGGTGCCCCCATCGTTAACTTGGCTGAAGTAGCCATCATCGCAATGGGTAGAATACAGAAACTTCCACGAGTGGCAGATGACGGAGACATTTATTCTGCCTTAATCATGACTGTAAGATTCACTGATACGATACCGTTCCATGAGCTTTTCTCTTCAGTGAGATGAAATAATCTGGTGATATCCGATATGATATTTCCTTCCGTTCTCAGGCTAACATAGGTGCGGATCACAGAGTCATGGACGGAGCAACCGTCACGAGATTTTGCAACTAGTGGAAAAGGTTCATCGAGAAGCCGGAGCTCCTCATGTTGCATATGAAATGAATGCCCTAGTTATGGTAGCATTTGGCAATAAACCTCAATGTAGAGCCAATAAAATAGTTTCTAATTTCCTATACTTACTATTAAAGTAAGAACATCCCTATGTTAATTTATCTACTGTTGATCTTTATTAGTTGCTTGCTTATAAATTTGTTAAAGTGAATGGGGGAGATTTAATGGTGTTAATTAAACTAGTGTCTTAATTTTAATAAGTGAAAGACCAAATTCTAAGAAATTAAAATTGATGGATTGATTTCTAGTTTTCTGTAAAAGTAAAAGGACTAGAATCGAAATTTAACCCGAGACGTTTGGTTTGAATAGTACATTCGGTTTCGAAGGGGAAAACGACACTGCCACCGCTCCTTAATTTGGAGCTTTCTGCAATTCGATCGAAAACCCCAAAAATTTTAAATTCATCATTAAATTCAGAATAGTAAAAATCCTCTGAATATGATAAATTTTAATTTAATTTGATTTTATAAAAGAATATTTTTTAAAATTCAAATCTAGAACGAACTATATGGTTTTTATGAATAAAAAATTAAATCGAAACAAAAAATAATAATAAATTAAAAAAAAATTCGACCTATTTAGCTCTAATGTTTTTTCATGATTTTATAGTCATCCCCATGACTATGGTCCTACAAGGACCAAAATCACATGGTACCCAAATTTTGTCCCAACTGACCCACAATGATTCCAACCACTTGTATTTGAAAATTACAAAAAAAATGCATTATATTTAAATTTCAAATTGATTCCCAAAATTTTAAAATATTTTATTTAATTTTTAAAACATTATTATATTTTATTATTAAACGAACTAAACATAGGAAAATTATGAGTATCAAAGACTAATATAGAAAAATAAAAAATCAAATTAGAAAAATCAGTTTAAAAATGCTTGAAAGATGAGATTTCGCTAGGAGCATTTCCTCGAAGAAAGACGAGATTTTGATAAGAGTATATCATCGAAGTGGAAGAACACATTAAATTCGATTACATTGTCAATATCTTGAGTTTCAGTGTATAAGTATATTCATGTAGCAGTGGGAAAACTTGGCGGTAGATTCCGAGGGGACAACGTAAAATTTAAACAAAAAATTAGAGGTTTAAACTATTTTTTTTAAAAAAAAAACAGAAGGATTCAATTTACAATTTTTAAAAAATTGGGGTATAACTAAAATTTTTGATATTTTGAGAGAATTAATGAGAATTTTTAAAAATTATGGGGATAATTTAATTAAGAATATTCAAATTTTAAAAATTTTGTGGATACCAAATTAAAAATTTTAAAAGCCTAAAATAAAATTTTCCAAATTTTTGGAGTATCATGACACACGCTAGTCTCTATTATCTTCCATCAATGTCATAAACGATGCTTTAAAGTTGAACTAACTAACGATGAGGAAGATGAACAACCTATGAAGGAGGAGTGTGATGCGGATATTGTAATGAAAAGCATACTTAATAAAAAGATAAAACAAAATTTTGTCCTTAAATAAGATCAGAGTTCGAATCATAACGTTTGCAAATAAAATAAATTAAATTGGGAGCGTCGTCCTCGTTTCTACAGTACTCGATCTAAATTAATCAATAAATAGATTAAATACCAGTGATTAATTAAAAAAATATTTTATTTTAAAGTTTAAAAATTATCTTTTATAATTATTTTATTAACATATCACATCATCAATTTAAGAATATTCAATGTTTTAATAATTAAATTTTAATTTTTTATAATGCGATTTTTTAATTTAATAAATAAAAATATATAAAAATAAAAGATAACTTTAACAAAAAGAAGCTCTAAAAGAAAACCATTGATTGTTGTGCATTGGTTGAGCATTTGAAAATACACTTTTTAACCAAACCCCAAGAACAGATCTTAGTCAAAGCATTGAAGAAATCAATAAAGCAAAACAAAAAACAATCAAACATGGAGGACGAAGCCATGTTCCCTCCATTAAAACGCACTACCCTAAAAAAAAAGATGGGTTCTTGATCTGATGATGATGAGGATGATTCCTCAAGTGACCAAATATATAGGCTTTGCAGAGGTCGAACCCCTTGCTTGGTGCTCCATGTTAAGTTCCCTCAGATTCAAATATGGAATCTCCAACGGACCTGAAGATGGGCGGCTACTGATTCTAAAAGGAGTGGTTGAACCCGAGCCGCACCGGCTCTCGGTTATGTAAACTGGTCCTGATATCGAAGCTCGAGCCCTATTTTTGGGCTCGAGCTCGACATCTAGATCATTACCATCTCTACTTCTATTCCACTTGAGGAAGAAGAGAGCATTTTTCCACCACCAACGCTTGTTCCTGTTCTTGGCCTTGAGATTGTTGTTTTTCCGGGATAATTGTTCGTCTTTCGATATGGGTTTCTGGAGCTTGAAGTGAAGGGAATCAGTGGATCTCCATGATGATTCTTTCTTCTGCCTCCTTGCTGCATCTAAAACCTGAAAAAAAAAGGGTTGGTGAAGAACATAACAGAGAATGAGAAAAAAAATTGAAGCTTTTTGTGGGACCTGAAAATAGTCGATTTGGAGATCAAAGCCATAGTCACTGAAGTGTTGAGGCTCAGGAATGGGGAAGACGGGGTACTTGTTTGACATTTTTGCTATGTGGGTACGAAATGTTGGGGACGAAAATGGTGTTTTGGGATAAGTTTATAAGAAAACGGAAGAGATTGTTGGACTTTTGGGTGATCACAAGGTCGAAAATGGAAATGGCCGTTGGAGAGTGGCAAATGGGTCTACTAATTTAAACTAAGAATTTATTCATTCTTAAATATTAATTATCTAAATTTATTTTAGGCTTAAATATATCGTTGCCTCCTAAAATATATCATTTATATTGAGTTATTCTTTAAAATATTTTTTAGATGTTTTATTTCCTAAAGTTTAAATTGTTATTTCATTAGTCCCAAATTGTTAACTCTGTTAAAATCATTATAGGTAAATTATATATTTAGTCATTTAATTATTTTTTGAGAATATATTTTGGTAACCTAATTATATATATATATATATATCAAAATCATCACGAAACTTGAGTTTGTATTCCATTTTGGTCACTTAATTCTATTCAATTTATTTTTAAATTTTTTAATATATAAAAATTCATTTATATCACACATTTTTTTACTTGATACATAAATTTAGTTTATAATAAATAATATTATACACCATTCATTCAACGGACATTTTTTACATTATGCCTTTTAGTTATGGTTTAAAGTATAATGTTTTTGGGTCAATTATGATTTTGGTCTTTTCTATTATGTTTAAATTCAAAATTTAATAATTGTTATTTAATTTGATATAATTTAATTTTACTATTTTATTTGATGAAAAACAATCCAATTTTTCCTAAAATTATTACCATTAAAAATATTTGAACATTAAATAAAGATTATAATTACTGATAAAATTTAAAAGATAAAATACATCAAAGGTCATTAAACTATGTAGAAATTATCATTTTGGTTATTAAACTTTTGAAAGTTAAAAATGGTTAAATTTATCAAATTATTATAAAATATCATTACGATGTTGTAATAAGTGTAAAAGTTCGATAAATTTAATATCTACTTTATAACAATTCAATAATTATAATGATCATTTTATGTTTGTAAAAACTTAATAATTAAAATGATTATTCAAACATAGTTCAATGACCTCTAGTGTACTTTATCCAATAAAAAAATATTCTTCAATGTTTAGTTGTTCTTATAAATTGCACTTATTAATTATGTATAAAATCCATTTATTAATAACGGGAATCCTATTTAAAGAGAACTTATATTAATATCCACTAAGGAACCATTAGTAACTTTATTTGGATATGATTTTTTGCCTTTTTATTTAATGAATTTCATTCCACCATTGTCATCGAATTATATCCGAACAATCAAATAAATCACCTTTAATCTTAATAGTATTTTTATTCAAAAAATTATCTTAATATTATTTGATTCGAATAATTATAAATCAAATTCATGAACCAAACATAGAATTCAATGATGGAGCTAAAAATTTAAAAATGAGAATCCAATAATTTTAAATTTTTTCAATATAAAAGGTATACCAATTTTTTAGGGTAAAATGCACAAATGGTTCTTTGACTATAGAATATTGCTTTGTTGAATTATTTAACTATTAAAAGTTACAAAATGATATTTTCCATTTCCATTCGAAATGTAAAAAGATTGGTTTGACGCATCTATGTTTCACTGATGATGTTTTCATCATTTTCAAAGGCTCTCTTGAGTCCATTGTTGGGATTCAAAGCGTCTTACGATACTTTTATAAGATGTCTGGAGTTTAATTAAATGCAACAAAGTTTGAGCTCTTTTATTTTTGGGATTCTGAAAGGTGAGTTGGAAGCAATTAAGGATTGCTCTGGTTTCAAGGTTGGGATTTTACCTATTCGTTATTTGGGTGTGTCGCTTGTAACTAGGAAACTTCCTAAGCATGACTGCCATACATTGATTGATAGTATTAGGCGCAAGTTAGAGCATTTGTAACACCCCAGATTTTGGGTTAGTAGTTTCGGATTTACCCGAGAGGTAAATGGACCCCGTGAATTTTACATTTTTTAAGCTGTTGGGTCAAGTTGGGTTAATTAGTTTGAGATCAGAGCCCAATTAGAAAAAAAGAGAGAGGAGTTTTTAAGTTTAAAAATTAAAGAAGCACCAAAGGCAAAATTATCATATTTTCAAAAGTTGAGCCTATTTATTTCTTTCATTTTCTTTCTCCCTTCATTTTTCACGTTTCTTTCTTCTTCTTCTCCTCTCCAAGGATTTAGTCAAGGTAAGAGTTTAAGCCTTTTTCATGCTTCATTTTCATTCGTAATCCTTCTACAAACGTCTTTTTAACGTTTCAAGCCATTGGTTTTGTTAGCTAAAGAGAAAAGTTGGGAGAAATCAACCAAATCATCAAGGAAAAGAGTTTGGCTAAACAAGAGGTTTCTTTTCGGGTTTCTGACAATAAAATAGTGTATTTCTAATCCTTTGAAGTATTAAA